CAAATACTGCGCTGGAATTGCTGTTGTCCACTCCGAAGTGGAAGATGTAGAACTGGCAATGGTCAGTAAAAAGTGCTCTCATTTTTGCGACACTGCCAAACTCCTGCAAGAAAAACACACGAAATTGCCCTGTTTTAGGACATTCTACCTCATCTCTATCACAGCATAGAAACAAGCCTCAGTGTCACTCTTTCCCGTCTATGTCTGGAATCCTAAATAATAAGAAGAACCCTTCATCAGTTAATGACAAATCGGACCAGTCTTTTTTTCGGCCTTTAGCTCTGAATTTTGTAGGTGTGGTATTTTCTTTCTAAGAGGTAGACGGCACGATGTTACTGAGCCATTTGGGAGTGTATTGTTCGACTCCATAGATACTAAATATAAAAAACATAATCCGTAGCTAACGGTAGAAAGGTAGAAAATTTTCAAATATAACATCCCGACAAAACAATCGTGACAAAACTTTTGAAATTCCCACAAGAAATCACATGGAAACCACGTTTTTCTGTATAAACAAATAGTTGTTCTTCTCGTCTGGAACGAATCCGAGAAAACCAGTTGAGGCGATTTATCTCCTTTTTGATTCTACCTCCATTTCTATAATAGCACATTGTCCCTTAACGGCAGGGGCCACACGATATATAGGCCGGTGCTTTCGTTTCTCGTAACAGACCTGGTGGATCTGGATTTACAGAACTAGGGAATGAAATGCCTAGTTGGCCTCAGGGAAGACACAATTAGGATTACCCTTTGATTGGGAGTGTAGTAAGTGACCACATTTGTCCACAACTCCTCTACTTCTTATATAAACATATACTGTTGTTTTTGGCTCTGTTTTTTAGTATATGGCTCGAGTTGAAAAAACATTTTGGGAAACTTCAGGATGATATCACTCTGTCAATCGCTCCTTTAGGACCGGAACACAATCTCGCCACTCTAGTTGTACGGCAATCATTTTGTTTCAAGATGTTCGTTGTTACAGGTGCACTTGCTAAGGCGCTGCTTTTTGGACATCCTATACTGATGATACTTTTTATAACAATGATGTACATAAGAGCTCTCAGTCCTGAAGATGAAAAAATTCGGTACGCTCGTGAGGTAAGCAAAAATTTTCGCATGTTTTTCTTTGCTATGGTCACTTCTGACCTCCACTAAATACCGGCCATCTCGACACTGAAGTCAGGGGTCAAGCACGACACCCTCCTTCCCTGCTCCATTCATTGCCTCTTAACGTTCGCTCTAACGACCACCTTACATCGCGCTCCAACCCCCCCACCCCCCACGCCCTCCTGAGGTCATCCACTGAGATGTGTGTGTTATGAGAAGAGAAGTTGGATTACATAAAGATGTTCTCCAGAGATACTTCTATAGCGTGTGAAGCGTTGTGTCTTGTCGAAAGGAGTTCGTCACTCATCAATCCTTGCGGTTCCTTTAACATGCAAGACGATCGAAATTACATGACGTTTCAAAAATTCGAAGATTGAGAAAGTACGTGAATATAGCATGACCCAGTGGTCCGAAGTTAACGTGTGGAGTCTCGCACCCAAGTCGTCAACGCAGTCGTCAGATGTCGCAGAGGTAAGCATTAATTGAGAAAGTCTCGTGTTGTTTGCACACTGCGAGCTGCTAGCACAATCAGCGAGACGTGCATGTTCAAGCAATTGCCTCCGTACAAGGACAGCACAATATGTCGCGCATTAGTTGTCTCATAAATAAGTGTCGCTTTTCTCATATATCCAGAAAAATTATTCCTCAACTCCCCACCCACAAAGCCTTTTACACCAATTCATCCTACCCATTAGACGACACGAGAAATCGTACATGCTCTAACAAAGACAGATGTCATGTTAACTACTTCCAACATTGTTCCAGGTTTTTCAAATTTCCAGGCCAAGCGAAATGGGAGACCCACGCCGGAGACAAAAATTAGACCGCAAGACCCCCTACCTTGAACAACACTCTAACCTTATTTTTCCTGCGTAGAAATCAATCAATATGTACCCTCTACTTACTCATGACCTCTCCTAAACATTCCACCCTTGGGTTGCCTAGAAAGGTTTGCCCTGTTTCTTTTCGAATTGACCCGAACGCGCATACCAGCCTAACTCTATGACCAATTTTACCCATTGACCACCTTGACCTCTTCTAGAACATTACACTACTAGGTTTCGCCAACAATGTCACTGCGCCCCCCACATCCGCTCTCATTAATTATCCTAAGAACCCAGGTTTTCAACAGCACTCGACGCGTCCGAGCACCATTACACACCCTCCTTTGTCAACTTTCCTCAGCTAATAGCAAATTATTCCCTACGCTGGAGATTTGGTCGGAATTTTTTAAATGAGGCCAGAGAGACATTGAGAAAAAACACCTCAATCGACATTTACAAGAAACGAAGATATCATGAACGATGTTGGAATGTACGCGCTAAGTTGATTTTCTCATCTTCTCAGAAATAATGTTTTTTAAAGAAAATGCGATCACGAATCCGAGTGGAATGTTTAGAAGAGGTCATGAGTAAGTAGAGGGTACATCATTGATTGATTTCTCCGCAGGGAAAATAAAGTTAGAGCTAGTTGTCGGTTTGGTCAATTTTTGTCGGCGGGACCTCCCATTTCGCAGGCCTAAAATTTGAAAACCCTGGAACATAGGTGGAAGAGAACAACATAACATCTTGTAGAGCAGACGATTCTCTTTCGAATGGTACATGACATGGTGTAAAGGCATGGGGAGTTAGACGAAAATTTTTTGGTTGAAAAAAAGCGACACTATTTATGAGACAACCTAATAGAATCACTAGCGTACTTGTAAGGTCTTTGCTCTTTCCTGGGTAAAGAACTGGAGAGTTATTTTTTCCTTGTTCCAACGGTCTGGCTGATCACGATTCCCTTAACGCCAAGTAGGAGCACGTTTAACGGCTTTCAATAAGCCACTCACCACCTTAAAAAAATGAGTAGACTCTAACGATTGAATAACGTCGGGACGTCAAAAACATCCCATTCAAAACCAAGAGCATAAGAGGTAGCGATTCAGCAAATGAGGTTGTTCTATTGTCAGTGATCAGTCGGTTCCAAATCTTCTCAAAATGCCTGAAGCGTATGGTTTTTTGTTTACTTCTGGCGGCTCACACTGTAGATATGAAAGAAATTGTGTTCGTTCTCAGAATCAAGTCTCGCATTTTTAAAGAAAATCGCTCTCTAGCCTCCAGGTTCATTACGCCATGGAAAAAAGAACCCTCCTTAGTTTCTAATGTTAAATCAAGTTCCTCAAGGCACTAATTCTAAGAATATTGTGATTTGTTCAAGAAATTAGCAAAGCTCATTCTTACACATTCATTGGCAAGCCTTCACTGTATAACTGCTTCAATTTAATAGGTGTAGAGGCGACAGCTGTTAATGACACAATGCCAGGACGGCTTACCGGAAACCACTACCACGCAAATAGGAATTACTAAAAAAAATCGAATGTCGCGTTTGACTAGTAAGGACTATATTTATACGGTATCCGCATTAACCTTAAGCATTTCAGTCATGCACAGTGCCTTCCATTTTGTTGTCAAGTTGTGGACGTTGAAAGGTTGAAACCCAGCATGTGCACGAAACAAGCTACTTTGATAATTTTCTATTTCTTTTTCTTTAGAATGATTTCAATAGACATCATCTTCTCGAGTTTCGTCATCATCCTACTTTGTCGTAATTTCATTTTATAGAAAGCTAACTTAACTATCACAAGAGAAAAGCAATGGTGCACAAATTGAAGATTGGATTTCGTTTTCTTTTCCTAACCTAAACAGCTCACTAACTTTAGTGGTACAGTATTACATGCGAGAAAAAGAAGCCTAGTAAGAGCTGTGAGCCTGGTAAGAAAAGCTTTCATATTCCACCGCCTCATTTCGAAAACTACGATGATAACGACGAAAATATTTGATTGGCAGTGAGTTTCGGTTTATTCCTAATTGCGATGATGGTTAACTGATGGCTGGGCCCACAATGAATTTAAACGACAATCTTTACACCGTGTTCATTTGGTTACCATTCCTTATTTCTACGAGGTAGCTTATCCCCATTGGTAATAAATAGATCACTATTTACAGTGCATAAGTTACAATCGAATCCTATGAGTTGGTCCAAAGAGATATTTTTGTCGATTTTGACGGCAAGGTATTGGAGTGGGAATTCTGCTCCAAAAGGTCGTTGGTACGCCGTCAATGCTACGCGGTGGCATTGAAAGACTGTTGCTATCAGAAAGATCTTAATTTTTAATCACTTTCCTGCAAGTGGAGACCGACGACGCTGTGGTAAAAAACCGCGTGGGCCTGCGCCCATTGTACCTGCCATGCGGAATGTAGCGGTCCTAGTTGGCCCAAACTAACTTTCTGTTTTCTTCGTCCCAAAAGCGTTCCCAAATTTAGGAGGATGCGTTTCAGGTTTACTGGATATTTATTTCCACTCTTGCATAGAACAGCGGAACCTTCAGTTATACGACTCGTAGAGTTAGAATTCTGTGGATAGTAATTGGCGAAGATAGTGGACTCATCTTACTATCGATCTCCTTATCTTTTAAACCTTGAGCATTGCGAATGACAACGAAATATGCGGAAAAAACCAACTGTGTAGTTCTTGCTACACAACAGAACCACTGATTAACGAAGAGCATTTATGCTCAAACAACAATTCAGAGTTAGAAAACCAAACCTAACTTAACCTAAGGGACGGACCCGACATAGCATCCCCCGGACCGTACCTCAGTCCGCGCGCCGTGGGCCTGTGCCATAACGGGCGGATCTGGGCCGCTATCGCGGGGTTACCTGCGAATCCCGGTGGTCGAAACTCCCATGACGTCGTAATAGATAAAATCGGCTCCTGCGAATATACCATCCGAGATATATGAGGCAGCTGCGATGATCACACCATATAAATATACGACCACAAGACATAGCACAATAACGGGGTCGGCGGCCACGTTCCGGAGCGGAAGCAGAGTCGAAAAGTACCATCCGTTTTTGGGCCTGCGAGGCTCCTGTCGTGACATCGAATAGTCAGTAGGTGGCGGTGCGTGTCGGGACCCAGTTTTGACGATCTACTAACAATCTCAATATTTTGATCGACGGCCGGCATGCTTTGGCGAAGAAGTCGTGCGATCACGACAACCTGAAAGATTGATGGGTCGAAAATAAAAATCATTCTCTTGCTTTCGTTTTAGAGGAGTCGCCGTCGAAACGACTTTTTTTCTCATCGCTGACCCTAGTATTATTGAATGTAAAGCGCATTCTGCCAACAATCTGGAAGGATCCAATTCGGAGGAATTTCGGCCTCTGGTGTCAGAACTCCGGAATCGTTTAACCCTTTCCGGACCGCGCACTTTTCACGTGGCGGGCGCGTGTGGCCGGCGCCTTTTTATGCTCACCGTCGCGCGCTACTCAGCGAGCATAAACATCATATATTTAATCTGTATTCCCATTAAAATCAATATTATGTCTCGTTTGTGTCTTTTCATGTCTTAAAGTATATCTGTGGTAAATATGACAGAAAGCCGTCCTGTAATAAAAGTGACAGGGCCACAAAAGGGAGGCAGGAGTGAAAATTGTTCAAAATAAGTTGTAATGGAGGAAAAAGGGACTAGAAAGTGTCCGAAACTTTTGGATTCAATAGCATCAGCTACGACGTGCACGAATGTCATGATTGCTTTTGTATGAATTGTTTTCAAATGAGTTATAACTGTTTTCTTTAAGTTCGAAGTGGAAGTCCACTTAGTTTTTGGTTAGTTTAGGAACTATTTCGAGATTGTAGTCCAGATTTTTTCACACATGAGTATGTTACATAGATATGTAACAACATGAAACATTTTGTAGAAAAACCGAATCCCCGGAAAAATCACTTCTTGAAGTCGGTCCGGAAAGGGTTAAGCTAGGCTAGTGCCGCCTGTCGATTTGTTAGAACACCGCACCCACTCGACGCCATAGGTAAACCTGGTGCATGCTAGATCGAAGAAACCATAGAAAACCAACAGGAACATGACGATGTCAAAATAACCCTTTCTTCGCATTTCAGCTCTTCAACTTCGTATCAGGGCCATCTCTGTTCTTTTCACGCCTTGCGATACGGCAGCCTTAGCGAGCCTCTTGCAACTCTTGTAGGCAGCGAGGTCCTCAGGGCTCCGGGTCTTCTGCCAGCGCTTGTATGCTTCCTTCTTCTGCTTCACGACTCGCTGGACCTCCTCGTTCCAGAACCACGCTGCCTTGTCTCCTCTGAATCCACCTCGCGTCTCGCCCAGTACCTCTTTGGCGCATTGTATATAGGATAACCCCAGCGGCACTGCTCCAAATCAGCTGGAATGGTTTACGTGAATCTCGGAGGCCAGCCCCTCGTACTCGTCGTTCGAAGTCTTCCTTCACTATTCGGTGCAGCATCCACCACCCAATTCCCCGCTCGGCACTTCTCCTAACCTTTTGTTGAGAGCATTGGTAGAGTCTGCTAGGAGGCCTGTGCTGGGGAGCCAGTTCTCCGCCGCGGAGTACTTTGAAGGATGATCTTCTCAATATCACATGACCGAATACCGTTTGTCGCCCTCCGCTGCTGTAGGTTACCTTCTGAGCCTACTTCTCCGCCCAAGTCCAAGGTCCTCTCTCCCTCAGCGTTCCTCGTTCCTATCCTCTACCTCCGTGCACCCTTTCCAGGCCTCTTCTGTCACTGCCGACGTGACCATTCAGATCACCTGCTATGGTCAGGTAATCGCCTTCCGGAATCGATCTTATGGCTTCGTCCAGGCTCAGATAGAACTCGTCCTTCTCACTTTCGGGGCATCCGGCTTGCGGTGCGTACACGGAGAGTATGGTCCAGTACCCCTCCTTCGTGTCTATCCTCACAGCCATGATCCGATCGCTGATCCTGTTCACAGCGGAGACATAGTCCTTGAGCGACTCCGCTACCGCTATGGCCACACCGTTCCGCTTGGTGTCTTCTCCATTGTAGTAGAGTTTGACACCTTCCCCGATTTCCCTGGCCTTAGCGCCTTTCCATCGCGTCTCCTGAAGGCATAGGACTTGGATATTCCTGCGCGTCATCAGATCAGCAACCTCTCGGGACTTCCCAGTTAGCGATCCTACGTTCAGAGTCCCAATTCGAACTAGCTTCTTTGGCCGAGGCCGTTCACTCCTCGGTAGCCCTCGCATACTGACCACAGAACTCGGGCGGGGGTTCTGCGCGCCACTTCCGGGTGACGTCCGTCCTAGCATTAACACTGACACTTTTGCGACTCCTGAGCATATTTGGTGTCTTCGTCAGCCGGCCTGTCCACCTGGGCCTGATGCTCTTACTAGAACAATTTTTGAAATGTTCGCAAGGCATGGTTAACCTCAGGAGGGATCGAACTCGCGTTTTTGAGAAGCGCAGACAAGAGTCCACATTTTTAACCACTCGACTATCCCTTCTATAAAAGCGTTTCCATGGCACGGGATGCCCAAAATCAAAAATGCGACTTTTTCCTTGAAAGCAATTAAACTTCTGAAATGTTCATTTCCTCAAATAATCATACCGCTGTTCCGTTTTTTGTACATATGTGAGTTTTCAACATTCGAGTCTTAACAACTTCCCTCATAATCAACTTTCTGCGCATTTTCGCTACCGGAAAAGCACCGCAGCTCTCGGCAAGGACCACTTCCTCGCAAAATAGTCCCATTGCTCCATTTTTTAGGCACTAGTGGTCCGACTTTTGAGAATTTACTTGTTTTGTCATTCAGACGTCCACAACTTCCTTCCTAATTAATGGTTTGCAGAATTTTAAGGTCTAGAAACTAGAAGACTTTCCGGAAAAACATATTTGAAAAATTCTCAAAGAGCAATCTTTCATCAAAGTTAAACTGTTTGTCTCCGTTATTTCTTTCGGGATTGATTTCTGAATATTCTTCTAAAACGCGAGCTTTAAGCCTTAAACCATTAACTTTCTTCGACATTAGCACAAAGAAACCTGCAGGATCAGCGTTTGGTGGCATAAGCTGAAACCTTCTGGTAATCTCTGGAATGGACACCTTGCTTTCGCCAGAATTTTCTATTAGGACTCAAGAAATCAATCAGCCAAATTTGTTGCACATGGAACTAGAGTGGAAGCCTTTCAGTTTGGCCTAAAAAAGTCTTGGAAGGAGATTGACTCGCTCGTGTCCTTGCTCAGGATGAAGCCCATTCAACCGTCTGTGGTGAGTAGTCGCATTGGTAGTCAGAAGTCTGTCCTCATTTGCCACTTCGTCTTGCCTTGTACCTTCGAATTTTCCAACTGGTACTTGAACTTACGAACCCCACTCCCTTCCACTGGTCGAACTGATCCCCTTGAAAATTATTGCGCAACGGGCGGCTGATCACGGTTCTGGCTAGGGTTCCGTATAACGTCATTATGGCCCAGGATGTCCGGGTACATCGTTGAGTTAAAACCTTACGCCACCACCATTGTTCGCCTCGAGAAATTCTGATCTTATGGGTTTGAAGGGAGGGACAGAGGGAGGAGTCTGGTATTGCGCAGCCGTCTTTCGAATACGTCACTCATTATCCCTCGCTTTATCACTGCCCTTCAATTGAGTATAGAACTCGTTGTTAATTGAAAGCTACTACTCACTCTATTCCGCCTTGAGTCCCTGTGCTCGACACGGACAGAGTAGGGTTGCCTCCAAGGAGGATAGCTCTATAGCTTATATGGTGTGCTACTTTCAGCTGAGTTATTTGTTTCCAGATGCAGCTCGATGTCACCTTCAACTCTGCGGTAATCCTGTTTCTTCCGCAGAAGTATCCTCAACACACACAATTTGCAATTTGTAGCTTTATGTACTGCATAGTCGTGTTTATTTCTATCTTGCTCATGGTTTATAGAATCCTGAAACTACTTCGCAGCAGTAGCAGCCGAATGAGAAGTCGCTTTGTGAAAATGCATAAAATGCTTCTACGAAGCCTCATTTGGCAGGTGATCAACTTTCGCTTGTCCCTCTCATAGCACGCTCTATGATTACATAGAAAGGTAAATGGCTGCTAAATTTTGAAGAAAGAGGGGCAATACGATATGATACGGCTCTCATGTGTGTCGGAATTTGCCTTAGAAACAAATTCGTTTGCGCGAAACCCTGATCGGTCCGCACTTCTTTTAATTTCGTGCTCGAGCGGAACAGCCTCCACAACTCGATTTAGGGTGTACCGGGAATGTACCGATCAACGAAGATCAACAGTTCAACAGAGTATTGGGATCGTACTTTGAGATCCATCTATATTTTTTTCAGACTGCAATTCCATCCCTCTTTATTCTCGTTCCATTCGTGTTGCTGATTCTTTCTGGCACCTCGGAAAATGTATTCGTCGAAGGAGCCGGTAATCTGTATTCCTTAATGCCCGGAAATTTTGCAGATATGCCTAAACTAAAGAGATTAAATTCTTCTTGCTCAAAAGAGATGCGTTCTTATTGCCCGTGTGTGAAGTATATCGCTTTTACCATTGAGAATGTCAGGCTCATTTAGACTCAAGATCTCTTCTGAATCTTATTTTTTTAGTGCGCCGAGTGTGTTAGCGAGAATTGTTGACGTGTAACAGGGTGGTGTGATAAATGTGCTGTGGCTCAGCTCGAACCAGAAAAGGGATATCATTTACAGCAACGAATACATCCTACAATTGAATAGCACTCAACATTCTCATTCGGAATGGTCGCCTATCAGCTTGCCAATTCCTTTCAAAGGAACCTTATAGAAATCCTTGCACGCATGACAATGACAATATCATCTCGTACTCTTTCAGAAGCAGCTTCAAGCGATCCATTTGGGCTTCGTTGAGACGCGCTTATACAGCTTCAATAACGATCACATTGAAAATCCACTACTTTCATGCAGGGTCAACCGTCACGTTCGAACATTTTCGGGATTTTTGCGACCCCCCCCCCTCTGGAAGGGGTCCAGTTGCGACCCCCACCAATACACAATTGCGACCCCCCAATACAAACCAGCCATCCCCCACCGCGACCTCTCCCTCTTCTATAGTATTTGATTCTGAGACCAGTTGACACAGCCCAAAACCTACCTAAAACTCCGAAACTCCGCCTACTTTTTCCCCAAAAATAGCCGTCGAGCGGGGGGGGGGGGGTATATACAACCACTGAAACGGCAACTTTTTTGCTTTTTTTCACACACACCTCTGCCCTGCCTGATGACCAAAGCGCGCGCAATGCGACCCCCTTTTCCCTCCCAGAGCCCAAATGCGACCCCCCCCCCGTTCGAACTGTTCGAACGGACGGTTGACCCTGCTTTATGTCTCGATTTCGGCTGCGCCTAACCTCGTATCACCTCGGCATCGAGGAACGGCATTTTGCCGTCAGACTTCATGCCGGAGTTGAGCGAATCGGCACACCGAATCGCCATTGAAACGAATGTTCTGTATAGCAGCATGGATGATAGTTTTCTCCATTATTGCATAGGGTGCGCCAAAATTACAGCGACAACGCATGCGCATAAAATCTGGACCAATGCCGAGATTTTATTTTTTGTCATTATTTTCAGTTTTGTCGTGTTGGCCTGCATGAAACTGCTCTTATTTATGCGGTTGTTCGAAACATGCACAGAACAGCAGTTGGAGTGTGTACAGGCGACGTGGAGCGAGATGAGTCACGAAGGCTAGCTTCCGAGATTGCAAGAGCGAATGGTTATGGAACGAGGAACGAAGAATCAGGCTCTCAGAGAAATGCCGCGAGAAAGTCGCGAAGCTTCACGAGGGCGTTCCGCGAGAAGTCGCGAGGAGTCACGAGGGCGTTCCGCGAGGAGTCGCGAAGAGATGGCGCACCTCCAGTTGCCTTTCATATCGGATAGAATTAGCATGGCTATACGGCAGTGCATTGCACGGGCGGATCTAGCTGATGAAGTCGTTTTGATTAATATACCAGGAGACAATCTTAAGCGTCAGCTAATCCGCAACAGACTCTATGACCGCGCGTGCACCACGAATCACTGCGTTGTTTGCCCATATGGAAGGCAAGGAGACTGTGCGCAACGAGGGATAGTATACCAACTTCAATGTTCAACCTGTGACGACTTTATATTGGAGAGACGGGCAGGATGCTAGGCGTGCGCATTAAAGAACATATGGCAGGAAAAAGGCGCGGAAATCTGCTTACTCCACTTGGCAAGCACCGAGTAGAGGGACATCAGGGTAACGATTTTGAAATCAAATGCAAAATTCTAGCCTACGAAAACGACATCGGTGCTAGAAAAATGTTAGAGGCGTTTTATATCCGCGTGAAAAATCCAAGACTGAACAACCGTAATGAATGCATGGCCATTACCAATGAATTCTTGCCTTTCATTCCTTTATGTGGACTGTGAGATCACCACATACGACACGTAGGACGCTTACTGTCCATGGTGTCTCATTTTATTCGCTCACTAACAAGAAGAGGAGGCTGCAAAGACTGGTGGACTCGCCACAGGTTAGTTCGCTCGCTGGGATCGTTTATTTTGTACTGTTTCGCTTTTCCGGGAACTCAGTAAGATTAGGCGCCTTACCGGGTGAGCTACAGAGCTAGGACTTCGAACCAGTTTCAGGTCCTGAAGACGACGAATTGTCGAAACGTTGACCAATAAACGTGTTCCACCATAACAACCTGTATGGCACAGAAGAAACAACACAATATCTATTTAAGCACTGAAATATATGATTGCTGACAGCGGAGTGATACTGCAAGCGCTTCTGAATTACTGCACTTCAACGTCAAGGGTGTCTGCGCAAAGTCAGCAGCGTGTGTTGTGGTGTACATCCGAGTAATATCTATAGATTCACTGAACGCTTCGAAAAACAAGGAGTTGAATTCAGTTGTTTTTGATAAGGAGGGCGTGTTTTTTTGACGACCGCGTAGTGCGCGGTAGAATTTACAGGACTTGGCGCGCTCAGTTCGCCTAATGGCGAGATGGTCGGTTCCTCAACGCTCCTGTGGGCCTGCGTAAATACTAACGAAAATCTTTATTGGTTGGTGAATGTTCGCGATTCTTGATTGAACTGTGAACGTTATTGCATTTTTGGTTCTTTTGAGTTGTGGCCCCTCTAAGCGCCTCGAAAACGTTGTCGCTATAATTATGACGCACTCTGCATCTTCAACAGCAACTCAGTTGAATTTTGACTTAATTTACATTTACATTGACGAAAACCGACAGATAGGAAGAAGCCGCTCTTATCCAGGATTACCTGATCGCTGAGCTAGTGAGGTGAACGTGATCAGGTCCCTTCTGCTCTGTTAATTTCTTTACAGTTTCTGGTCACTAATTTCAAGTTTTACAAACTATCCGTGGGAAATATGAAAAAATTTCGATCTCAATGCAAGCTCCGCCCGCAGTCCGCGCTGAAGCCATTGACGAGAGAGCTTGTCGTTCATGGCATGAAGTATATTGTACTCTATATTCGCACCTTTGTCCTAAAAACTCGAATCTATTGCCATCTGTATTACGGTTTTTACGTAATTTCGTCGAATACGCTTTTACCAATAATCAGAGCCACCAATCACCTAATCGACCGATTGGTATGAGAAAGAGTGCTCAATTGAAATGCCGGGTGACGAGCGTGTGATTCATCCGGGATACAGCAACTCAGGGAAGAATTTTCCTTGGCGCGTAAGACTGAAAATCCCCCTAATTTCGAATAGTGGAGCCATTCACCAAATAACATGATGAAACCATGGAATCATAAAATTTTACGCAGGGCAAACAGAGTGCTGTGCCTCTCAGAAACCCTGCTTTATAGGGTAACTGCGTTTCTTGAAGTTCAATCTTGTTATTTATGCTTTACCCTAAAATAGTTTCACCAAAGCTCTCACAAGCTTCTAAACACGAAGATACACTTCACTTCACTTTCAGTTCAATTTTTGAATGCTTCAGGAATCCCTTACTATGCTGAGTTGTTCCCTGCAATCGCCATCTGTATATTTTCGCTCTATTCGATCGCTGACGTCATCATCATGATGACGTTAACAGAACCTTATCGACAGTTCATCATTGGTCTGATATGTCGAAGAAGCGATGAAGCTGTTCACGTTCTTTATTAAGAGAACCAGTTAGTATTCAGCACAAAGCTTATCCGTTATAGATAAAGGACCTTCAACTGCACGTGTAAAGAAATCGTAATTTAGGCAGACATTGATGGGTGCTGTACAGTGATCGTCGTGTTTGAACGGCGTTTTATTGGCCTTACCTTTATTCAACTGACTGTTCCCCTATGATAGCACCCTGGGTTAGTTTCCGC